GGCACCCTGGCGAGCTGAGGCCCGAGATGCTGGCCAGCATTCCACAACTCACAGATCTGCCAGGCACCAACAGGGATCAACTCCGGAATGCCAGTAGCGTCAGGGTTGAGAACCGAGGGTCCAGTGTGAATAGTGCTCTATTCCAGACAGCCGCGGCGTTTTCTGTGCCTGGCACTGTTCTGCAGTGGAGGCGTGCGTGCGTCATGTTGCTCCTCATTTGGTTTGGTGCTCTGGGGGAGCTGAGGTGAATCCTGAGGGCAGGCAGACGAAGGAGAGGACGGGCAGAGAGAACAGAGGGTGCTGATGCAGCCACCTGGAGGTGTCGTGCACATCTGGAAACTGCAAATTGTTCATTTTGGCTAAAGCTAGAAGCTGAGGGAGAAAGCAGGAAGATGAGGGAGGAAGTAATGCATGAAGAGGCTGCCACAGATGGCCTGGCATGCCATTGTAAGGCATTGGTATTATTCGGGGACTGTAGGAAACCAAAAAGGGGTTCTAAGGGGCCAGGCAGTTACATGTTCAGATCTCCCTTTTGGAAGGGTAACTTCAGAGGTTCCAAGGAGAACTGGTTGGAAAGACTCAGCTAAAGATAAGGAGTTGATTAAGAGGCTGGTGCAGTCATTCAGGTAAGAATTGGGCCAAAGAAGTGGAACAAGGGATGGAAAATAGAGGCATTTCAGAGATAATAAGGAAATTGAATTGATTACTGGGGCACCAAGGGATGAGAGAGAAGTCAGATAGGGTTGGGTCATTGAAGACTGACTTGGGCAAGTCTGGTTGGTCGGCAGTTGCTGCTCCTATCCTGGCCCAGTGTCTTTGGGGGATGCCTGTCCTTCCCATCAGCTCTGGATGTGACTCTTGTGGTCCAGGAGTGAAGCCATCCAATCCAACACACCCAGCACACAAAGTGGGGGAGAGAAAAAGGTCAGTGCAATAAAAAACCTCTTATTGGCAAAGTGTAGTATGGACCCACTGTGTCACATCCTCCTGGATAAGAATAACAAGGCTTCCGCACAATGGCAGCAGGCTGAACCCTGGCATTGGCCAGTGGGACTGCTTTAGGTTTTCCTCTCTTAGAAGAGCTCCTTCATCGTCATCCTGGGTGACTCAGCTGGGACATGTATGTAATTTATGTCCTGCCTCAGTGTCATCTCTTTGGAGAGCTTTTGACTGCTTTCCCAGCATCTCGTTTTCCATTGCCTTAATTGCTTCATCAGTAGGACACATGTTACCTGCAGTTATCTAGTTCATTTACTGGTTCCACTTTTTGTGCCACCAATACATTGGGATGGCAGGTCAGGAGGGTGGGAGGGGCCTAACCAGCATGTTCACTCTGAATCCATTACCGGGAAGAGTACCTGGTTCCAAACATTTTTAAATGAATGAGGTATATAGTGCAGAGGAAGGAACAGGTTCTTTTAGTTTCTTTTAGTTTCTCATTTCGTGTGGGAGGGGAGGATGAATTCAGGATTGGATGTGATGGGTTTTAGGGATATGGAGGATAATATAGCTACGTCCAGTGGGCCATTACACATACTGTAGGTATATATTAAACACACAGTAAGTGCGGATGTCCAGTTGTCCATTGAACATGCAAATATGAAGCTCAGGAAGGACATCACAGCAAAGTTAGACAAGGCTTACTGAGCCCTTACTATGTGCCAGTCCTTGCTCTTCTTAGGAAAGTGGATCTATGGATTGATGGAAGCAGAAGTTGAAAGTGTCGAGTGATAATGTCCAGAAAGTGTGCATGAGAAAAAAATAGGGACAGAACCCTGGAGACACTTTGCCAATAATAGATGAATAGTGAAAGAGGCACTTTTCAGAAGCAACCAGGCAGGGCAACATCTGGGGGAGAGGGTGGCATTGAGAATCTAGGGAGAAAGTTCAGGGAAGGAGTTTCAGAGAGGTTGGAAAAATGTTGGTGGACTTCAGCATCAAAAGGAGCAGACTTGTAAGAGCTGTTTCACTAGAAACTGGGCAAAGGAAATAGGTTGAGGGTTTGGGAATTTCCAGTTGCCACTGGAAAAAACCCAGTTGAGAGGGAGAATTTGAGACTGTAGTGAAGGAAGAATGTGGTTTTTTTGTCATTGTGGTTGTTTTCCCAAGAACCTTCTGAGCCTCCTGTTATATAATTGTCCCAGTGGAGCAAGAAGCAGTAGAGTTGCTGGCTGCCGCATGGCTTCCCTGGTTCCCCTCTTGGCAGACAAAAGGCCAGGACCCCGTGGAGCCTCGTTGGCTGCAGTCACCACCAACAGTGAGAGTAGAGTAAAGGAGACCTTTACTTTAGCTTCTTCAGTACCAGTGATTGTTGGTGGTGTACTTCTCCAAACTGCCCTGGCTTCCCGATGGTTGTATTTTCCCCCTTTCTACTAAGCCTAGAGTTCTGATTGCATGAAAGTCATCTCTCAAAAGTAGCCAGGTTTCTAGTAGTAGAAATGGGTTAGCACTGTCCACACCTGCTTATTTAATTAGGAAAACCTTAATCACGTGGTGTTTTTTTTTTTGTTTGTTTTTGTGTGTGTGTGTATATATATATATATATATATATATACACACACACACTTTTGGTACCGGGGATTGAACTCAGGTCCTTGCGCTTACACAGCAGGCAGCGAAACCACTGAGCTAAGTTCGCGGCCCCTGTTTGTTTGTTTTTTGGAGGCAGGGTCTCACTTTGTAGTTCAGGCTGGCCTCATTTAGTAGCCCAGGCTGGCCTCACACTCATGGTGATCCTCCTGCCTCAGCCTCTCAAGTGCTGGGAGTACAGGCATGTACCACCATGGCTGGCTTTCACATATGTATCTTATGAATTAAAACTTTGCATCAACTTTCTCTTCTTTTTTTTGTGACAAGAATTAGGTTTCTGACTAGCAAAGTAAGGATACCGTTTTTGGAATGTGTTATCCAAATATAAAGTGTACCTTTCATTTCCTAATCTGTGAATTCTAAAACTTCTTAACTTGCTTGAGATTTTCTGAATTTATGTGTAGCTTTAACATGCCTGTAGATAATGAAGCCCGATAATATAAATTGAAAATAAGTATTTTTCTTTTTGTTGCTTTTCAAAGGAAACATATTTGACAGACTTAAAAAAAAAAACGAACCAACTTGTTTATTGAAAAATCATTTCCTGTAATTTTTATTGCAGACTCTGCAGCCTAAAATGTCACTCCTTGGATAATTTGTTTAAAAAAAGAGTAAACAAAGTATATGATAGCATGTGAAAAATGTCAGAACATGGTTATCTGTAGTTTTTCCTTGTGCAAGTAGCCTCGTTCATCAAAGGTAATAGTGATGCTCTCAGCGAAGACGAGTCAGTCAGAATACCTTGACCAGACAGGCGATTCTTGCTAGAACAGCACTGGTGTGAGGATCTGGGTCTGGGGGAGACTGGGGGGGGAGATGATGGAGAGGGAGGAGGGGCACAGAGATGCACGCTCCCCCATGGTGTGCTCCTCGGACTTCTGGTGTGCCTGATACAGAGGTGTATGGTAAGCTCCATCCGGGTATTTCTTCGATATTTTGTTGTCAGGGCATCGTTACACTTTTAACATTTATTGAGGTCCCCAGAGACTTATATGTATTATATTGATCAATATTTACTGTTTTTGAAATAAAAACTAGTAAATTTAAAATATGAATTCACTAAAAATACTAATAATGAATTTATGAGTTCTTATTTAAATAGCATCCTTTTATGAAAATGACTATATTTTTAAAAAACTGGTGAGAAAAATGTCATTGCTGTGCGTTTTTTGTCACTCTCTAGTGTCTGGGTTAATTGAAGGCAACTAGATTTTCACATCTTCTATATTCAGTCTGTATTTTGAAATATTTCACTATAGGTCATGAGAGATTGAGAATGAAAAAGACAAATTAAATCTTGATAGCATTAAGAAAATAATTTTGAGTTCATGGATTGCTGAGAGCAGATTTCAGGAACCTCCTGGGATATACCTGGACCGTACTTAGAGAACCTCTGGACTGAACTGTACATTTCTTGGTTTCTTTTCTCCTTCTCTTTAGGGCCTGCTAAAATGTTCCTTATGGTGCCTCCTTGAATGTATGTACTGGTTCAACTTTCCCCTATACAGTTCCCTGGGAAGGAAGCATCCTGTGAATCAGGCTGCAACTTCTTGTCATGCTGCCTTCCCCTCAGTTAGTCATGGTATAAGAATCCCTCTGCTGCCTCGGACTCAGCTGCCATGGAGGCGCCACTGGGCCCTTTGTACTGTGCCCCATGACACTGTAGACTGGTTACAAATCAAGATAAGTAGTTTAGGAAAAAAAACACTCTTTTTTTCAGTACAATGAATTCTAGGAAGTCTTGGAGGTTGCTGGGAGAAAGAAGCTAGAAGTGTTTCCTGGAAACGGAGTGGAAAGGCTGCAGATGTTTTGAGGGGCCCATCTGGTAAATAGGATCCACACTGCCACATGCTGTCTTGCACTTCACATTTTCTGCACGAAGGCAGTGGAAGGTGCCTGGAGAGTGAGTGGAAAGCAATGATCAGGTCTCCAAGGTACCAGAATTTTCCTTTGCCAAATGTTAGATTGATGTCCTCCAGACCGATCAAGGATATACACAAAATTAGGCTGAAAATATGCATACTGTTAGTATATTTTCAGACTTTTGATGAAACACAGGTAAACGGTATCGAAAGGTATCTTCAAAATTACATGGTGAATTTTGTATAAAACAATGAGGTCTACAAATGATGGCATCTACATTGGAACAAATTTATTTATCAGCTACATCAGGAAACATCTTCATAAATGTAGTAGCATACAAGTACTGACTTTTGCATTTGATTTGCAAAGGAATGGAAACAAAAGCATTTTAGAAACAGCATGATTGTATCTGCTTTATCTGAATGAGTAGTGGCATTTTTCTAACTGCTTGTCTCTTGGGCACATAAGTCATCACGGTACATTCTTACTAACAGTCTTTGAACTTCTTTCTCTGTCCTTTTCTGCCGGGCCGTATTTGCTGCCTTTAGCGCTTCAGCATGGAAGGGATCTCAAATGTCATTCAGAATGGCCTCCGCCACACCTTTCGAAATTCAGGTGGAGAGAAACAGGTGCTCAGTTATCCTTATTTTCCTCATTGTCTGCTTTTTGCATTTTCTTTGTAAGTAAAGATCCTGAAAGCTGACAGTTTTACTAATTTACTAAGACCATTGCTTAAAAGAGAGAAATGAAAGTTTATTATCTGTATAGCCTTAATGATGAACAATTTCCCTTTGGGAAAAAAGCATTTTCCAAATTGGACAGTAGACTAAATACATTCTTAAGACATATTTCAGAGCTCCATTTCTTGCTCTTACCTTTAAACAAGTAGATATTAACATATTGACAAAATAAATTGCATGTGTTGAAAAATCTATTTGTGAAAATAACTAGAATATGCTACTCTAATTCTAAAAATCTAGGAAACAGGATCTCATTTTAGGGGGAAGAAAGCTAGATGTTGGTATCTTTGACACTACAGAGTTTGAGATAAGAAATATGTAAAGAGTATATTATAACCCCCATTAAGTGAATTTTTTTTTTTTTTTTGGATGTACTGGGGATTGAACGTAGGGCCTTCACACTGAGCCACATTCCCAGCCATTTTTAAATTTTTGGAGACAAGTTCTCACTAAGTCACTAAATTTCCCAGGCTAGGTTTGAACTTTGGATCCTCCTCCCTCAGACTCTCAGAGTGCGGGGATTAAGGCATGTGCCACCATGCCCAGCTTAATTCATGTGTTTTTTTTTTAAATTCATGTGTTTTTAAAGCACATTATAGAGTCAGCCAAGTCAGTTGTCTACCAAACGAGCATGAGGCATCATTTATACAGTCATACATGTTTGACTGTATAGTCAAATGGTTAGCAATGTGCTTTTATTTACATTTTTGTGCAGAGATTAAAGGACATGGGAAACACAGCTACACTAATGAATGTGCTTAAAATTACCTTTCACCATTTGAAATTTTAACTCCCCCCCAAAAAAGTCTATTTTTGGGGGGGTGGCGGTACTGGGGATCAAACTCAGGACCTTGCACTTTCGAGGCAGGCGCTGGAACCACTGAGCTAAATCCCTGGCCCAAACAAGAGTCTTTTAAGTTAGTTCCTAAGTGAAGATTAAGAAGGGGTAAGACGGTAGACAGTTGAATCAGATTCCCTGGAGCTTCTGCTGGAGGTTGTGTGTGTCACTCAAGAAGGGAGCAGTCGAAATGAAAGAGGGCAGGTTAACACTGATCTTTGGAGTTTACAGGGGACCCATGGCGGGATGGGTGCAGTTTTGTTTTTAATCTGGTGCTACTCTCCTCTCACCCCACAAGAAGGAAAAATGACTTCTAAACTGACCCAGTGCAGGGGAGTGGGCAGGCAGCGCCGAGAGCACAGCCACTGGGCCAGGTGCCAGGTGCTGATTCCTGGCGCTTCTCCAAGGTGCCTGTCGCCTGTCGTGAGCAGAGCTCCTGCTGGGTGTGTTTCCGGATCCCAGGGGTGGTCCTACAGAGAAAATAGCTGGTTTTACACTTGGGCCCTGCCGTGGAGAAGTCCATTCCAGAAAGACAGTGGAACACTTAAGTTCCTTAAAGACTGGACAGTTTACTTTTCCGGACCTAAGGGTCCAGTTATTGTTAAGCAATCCCCTTTATGTTGTTTTTCAGTTATGACTGCGTAAGATTGCTCAGTGTGGATTAGGAATAGAACTGAGGGCTAGTGCAAGGGACTGACGAACAGACTGGGCTGAGGAGATTCCAAGGAGACCACTAGCTTTCTCCAGCATCATGTGCACATGGCACTCAGCTGTGTTTTGTAGCGGGGCAGTGAACAGGAGAATCTGGACAATACCTTTTGGATCATGCTTTCTTGTGATGTAGTTGTAGGACAGCTGTTGCTTGTGAACCTTTACAGATCATTAACTAGGTGGTTTGTCTCTATTTGAATCACTAACTTTTACTGTTCGTCCCTCCTGTAGGCCATTTTCTTCCACTCATTTCCTTTAATTTCTAAAAACACTTATAAATATTACACAATAATTTAAAATAACAACACTCATACACTTCTGAGACTATTTAATAAGTGTCTTTGTTAGCTTTGGAAGAACCTGTGATAAATTTTTTAAAGTTGTCATGTTATCCATATTGACTATTTTGTTCATCCAGAATAAGAGTGGTTTTGAAAGAGAATTATTTGGCTGTTGGAAATTATTTGTGTGTGTTTTAGTTTAATTACAATTTAAAAAAAATGTGTTGAAAAACACGCAAGGAGAATGTTAGATAAGACTTTAAAAATGGATGGATTGAGCAAATCATCCTCAGACCTAGTCCTATGAACTTTCCAATAACGGAAATGCAAATAAAATGGTTTCTTATGTTGACACGAAGTTAGTGTGAAGCAGATAGAGGTGGGCAAAACGGTGTGCTCCAGCTGAGTGAGATCCATGCCTGGGTTTTCATTACCAAAGTAGCCCATGTTTCATGTTGTAAAGTAGACCTTCTAGTCACTGTATAGATTTTATACAGTTAATTCAGATTTAAATGATGCTTTTTTTGTTTTTAACTTGGCAGTATTTGACAACAGTCATTCCTTATGAGAAAAAAAATGGACCACCATCTGTTGAAGATCTTCAAATATTAACAAAAAGTGAGCAAAGACAAAATTTATCTGTTACCTGATTTGCTTTTGCAGATTCTTAAATCCTTAGTTTTAGCTACCTGATCTTGTTTTGTTTAGTCAATATTGGATAGTAAATGATGGATGCCATTATTTCTTCCTTTGGGAACGAAACAGAAAATGACCGTAACATTAAATGCAATACTAACTCTAGTGTCCGATTTGTAATTTTTCTATTTTCCTTATTTTTTGAGATATTTATGAGGTAAAGTTTTGGGAAAAAAATGTAACTTGACTCCCTAGCAAAATGCTTTGTGGATCTCATGCAGCTGTGACTGTCAGTAACTGATTAGGAGAGATTTAGGGTAAGCTCTCCCTTTCCTTATGAATGCAGAGCCCGAGGTGGTAGTTACAGGTAGAATATAAATTGACAGTGACATTTTAAGCATATGCGTTCATTCAGCAAATACTTAGGGGGAGGCCTGCTCTCTGTCATTGTCTCAGTGCTTCGGATACTTTAGTGAATAAAGTAAAGACACTTCACTTTTCAGGGGCCTGCATTTTAAGATAATTCATGAGATTTAAATATACATGACGGGGCTGGGGATTTAGCTCAGTGGTTTTGCCACCTACTGCGCAAGCGCTAGGACCCGAGTTCGATCCCTGGTACCAAAAAAACCCCAACCAAACCAATAAATATACATGATGTTGGGTATATCTTAGGAGAGTGGTAAGTGAGCCTGAAATTCTGGTTCTAGCCCTGCTGTTTTCGGGGATATCCTTAGAAGTCACTTACCCTCTCTTGGTCACATTGAAAGACTAGTGTAAAAAATAATTGCTCAGTTTACTTCACAGTAAATGAATTGTGGATAATGTGCAGTAATTGACAGCCCTTAAAATGAAGGGATTGAATTTGCTAATCAGCTAAGTTCTTTCTAATTGTAAATATTTATGATAACTGTTAGATAGGAGGGACCCAAATGAAAGAGCATCATGTGGATGGATATTAACGATGATATTAATTTGAAAGTTTAGACATGGAGGAATGGGCAGGGGAAGATAAGAAGGGAGGACAGTGTTGCACTCAGCACTTGCTTGCCCACTTGCATTAAGCCTTTATTCTTTCCTCTGGTGAACAATACTTGGAAAACATTTTATATTTACATACTGATCAATCAAGGGACACCAGCCAGTCCAAGTTAAAAAATCAAGGCAGCCCCTTTATTTTCAGGAAGAGCTTGCAAGTTTCTGAGTGTCCAAGATCACACGGGGAATGGTTAATTACAGGGCTAGGTCTCTTTAATTCCTCAGCAGTTCTGCTTTTAATAATGCTGGCTTTTGGTAAGTGATTTTATATAGATGTTAAAAAATTGTAAAACATGATTGAAAAGGAAAGTACTGAACATGATAGTCCTCCAAGGAAGGGAACAAAGGATTGCTCAGAGGCTAGAAATTATGAAGAGGCCTCAGCTTCTCAGGTCAAGGACAAGCCGAAGTCATTGCATTTCCATCATCAGAATGTCCAGGGCTGATTCTTAGACAAACTGACACAGTTTTGGAAGTTTTGGAATCTCGGGATGAGGGAATTTCCAAGTTAAGACTGTTCCAAGGAAGGTATTGTTGTGAAGACAATAGAGAGCAGGATGACCTTCACTTTGAAAGTGAAAAAAATGGTTATCTCTTGAAAAGTTTAGAAAGGCTCTTAGCCTCTTCTGCCACCACCTATAGATGAAGACCAAAGAAATGCCCTGTGGAGACAACAGGACTCACAGACATGCAGCCTTCCTTGGAAAAGCTCTTAGAAGGGGAGCATACGTGCAGTGAGAAGAGTAATGAGAATTACATTCGGGGTGTTCTTTATGATTGATACTAGACACTCTTCTATGGCCTTCACATGTGTGTAACTTCATCTTCATAAGCTTTTGAGATAGATCGAATTATTATTCTCATTTTACAGATGAGGAACTTGACATACAGACCAGTTAGGTCACAGAAGTCAGGAACTGTTAGAGCCAGGCTCTAAGTCCAGGAAAGCTGCCTTGATAGTTACACCATGCTGCTTGTCATATGTCTCGGGAAATAGTGAGGTGTTTTCACCAAGATATTCTGGAGGAAGTCGGAAGTGGCAAGCACTGTACAATACTTGTTTGTGAATGCTCGCTTTGGCAGCACATATGCTAAATACTTGTTAGTGAGTTTATCTCTACCTGGATAGTCTGGATTAAAAACCCCAAACCAAAACATTACAGTGAATGGCTGCTTTTTCCTGTTTTGGTCTTTACTGAGAAGACAAAATTGTCAGGCTATGGTGCAGCTCAGCAGAATACTTGCCTAGCATGTATGAGGCCCCAGCTTCAATCTGTAGCACCAGCCCAGCACAACACAGCACAAAACAAAAACAAGTCAAGTTTCCCTTTCGGATGAGGTGAGTCTCCCAGGCTCCTCCCCAGTGGAGAAGGCGAAGATAGCCTGGTAGATGTCGATGCTGCTTTAAGAAGGTCTGATACTCATTTTCTCTTCACGTTTCTAAGAAGCTGACAGATGTGCTCCTTGCAGAGTGTAGGAGACTCTCCAGTTTTTCCAGTTCACAAGATGGACAGTGCTGAGGTCCTCCTGATCCACGTCAAAGTGGATCGCAGTAATTCAATGCCTAGTATTTCTTACAACAAAGTGGAGGTGTCACATAAATAGCCCAATTCCTTTTTTCTGCCTCCAGGGTTTGGACATTTTAAATCAGGGAAGTAACTCTCAGGAGTTCCTCAGTTTCTAAAATTCTTGAGCCTTCATTTTTGTATTCCCTTACCCAGAAAATAACCTTTAATTTGTATGATTCATTTACTTAATATTAAGGCTCCAGTATTTGAAATTATTACTTTTGGTCTGAGTTTTAAATTATCTTTCTCTTTTTTTCCTTTATTTTGAAGTTCTTCTTGCCATAAAGGATGATAGTGAGAAAGTTCCAAGTTTGTTAACTGACTATATACTGAAAGGTGAGTTTTAAAGTGGTGTGTGTACAGTGGTTGGGAGTTTTGATTAAATGGGTCCTCTTGCTAAAATTCAAAGTAATTTCCAAACACACAGTTTTATTAATCTTATTGCATGGAGGGAAGATGAATGGTGACTGGCATATGCTATGAACATTATTGTTATATAAAATTTAACTTCTGTCTGAGATCCTGGACCGAAAATACTTCCCACAGCTGAATTATGAACATTGAGGGAGGCAGTAAAATTCAACTAATAGAACATTGCCATGGTTATGTGGGTATCAGTGTAGACATGTTGACCCTGGGCAGCTTGAGAAGCGGAGACTCTGTCATCTTGGGGACAGCAGGAAAGGACACATGATCAGTGGGGACAGAAGGAGGAAAGTCAAACCAGCTACCAGTTTCAAGGGGTACAGAAAAGAGACTGGTGTGGAGGGCAGAGAGGGGAGGGAGAGTATAAAAAGAATGACTTCTGGACACTCTGGACAGTGGAAAATGGGTCATAAATCTTAGGAGCAAGACCGAGATCATACACGATAAGAACACTGATAAAGCAAAAGGCGATCAAGAAGTTACAGGGATCACTGCTGAGCAAAGAGCAAAAATTTGGATGATAAAGAGGGGACTGAAGCACTTAAGTCAATTATAGTCCAAACTAATACTTTCCAGTGTGATTATTTTTTTTAAAAGCAGCAGTTACGTGGTGCAACAGATTTTGAAGGCATCTCAAAATGCATCTGTAGTGTTTGGTCAGATTTGGAGCATAATCCTTTTCTTTGGATTCTAAGGCAGGTTAGGATTTTTGTTTAAGACTTTGAAAATCTCTGATGGGCCTTTTCTTCACCCACAGCTCCATAAAAAGGGGAGGGGTTCAAAGTGAATCATGCACGAGTATTAGTTATGAGACTGGAAGTAAATGTAAAACTCAAGCCAGTCATTAGTGGGGCTAACACAGGGACAGAAAAGACTATTAATACTGGTTTTGAATACACTATTGTTTTTTCTGATGGACGGCTTTTTCTCCCTATTAAATTCTGAATTTTCTTTTATACCTGACATCTTTGTTTGCTTTTGGGTTTTGCCAGCATTGGTATGAAAGCTGGATTGTTCTGAGGTTTGTTCTTCTAGATTTGGAACAGGAATGAGACAAACATAAAGAACATGTCTTAGTTTTTAATTAGAGTGGGGTCTCTAGGGTACTGCCAGGAGGCCCAGAGAGAGAGAGAGTGCTTGGGAAGAATTCTCTAGCTCTCTCAACATTTGTCTGCATGGAGGGATGTTAGGACCCCAGGAGCACAGTGTGGGCTGGGGCAGGGGAGATGATTTTTAATTCTTTACTCTGAAAACCTAGGACTCTAACTGTGAACCCATCCCGCATGCCCTAGAGAGGCAGCATCTGCCTAATTCTGCTCATGCTCAGCTGCTGGCTGTAAGCTCAGTTCCATCACTACTGTCCCTGCTTCTGAAGAGCTGTTGGTATGCATGTGTGGTGCTTTATGTCTTGCGTCTGTATTGTGAGGTCCAAGTGGAAAGGAAGCTAGACTCAGACTCAGGCAGTGACTGCAGTCCAGAAAATGGGGAGGCTGTTCAGGTGTGGGTGGGTGGGTGCTGACGTGGGGTAACTGAAAATGCTCTTTTCCACCTATCCTCGTAAACACTCATCCTGTCAGCCATCCCTCTTCCCTGGGGACAAGTAATAGGACTGTCGGGAGGGGGATACTGCTCAAGGGAATACTCCTTCCCCATGTTTGGCTGGTCTGTGTCACTGTCTTAATGCTGATGAGTGTGGCTTGGCTGTCTAAATGAGATGTGCCATCTTAGTTTTAATGCCAAGGTCAGAAGTGAAAGAAGGTGTAGTGGCTTCATTTGGTCAGAGGAAAATAGGATGGGTGCTGTGTGCACTAATTCAGCATCTCCTCCTCACACCTGCCTACTTATCCCACTGCAGCCTGCTGCCACCCCTGCTCCGTGCCTTCGACTATAGTGCTGAAGGCCAGAAATGTAGGTATGGCTGCTGCTGTGCTGATCCTAGGTAGGAACAAAAATGTGCGCACAACCCCATACCCTTCTTTGACGTCACGAGGGAGCCTGTGTGCTGTTACAAACCTCATGGTACAGGGCTAAAGTTACGGGATTATGTGGATCTCCTAAGTGGTACCCTAAGAGACATGACCTTTTAGTGTTTCATTTCTGGGAAATTCTAATGTGTCTTGAGAGTACTTCTCTTTGTTGGGTGTAGCCTCTTAGAACATTTAAAAACTTGACTATTACAGATCCTTGTACTAATCTTTAGTCCTCATTACTTAATGGTGCTTTTTATATACATACTAAATGTAAATAAAATGAACATTTGATGTAAATGTGTACAAGATACATTTCTTCCTAAAAGTTTTCTTTTTCTTCTAGTTCTGTGCCCCACCTAAAGCAGCATTGCTTCAGGAGCAGCTTTATCTTCCGTGGACTACAAGTTTGATTTGCTACAGCATTATTCTGAAAGCTGGCCGCCATGTCCTTCCTGCTACTGGAAACCCAGCACACTTGAGCTTGGGTTTGTGATTCAGTATTAACAGATCATGACTTCACTAATTCTTTGTATTATAGAATCAAGAAAACTATGGCAAATTCTAGAGATGGTTTTGGTAAATCTGCTAACAAGTATTCTTTCTTAGTAGAAAGAATATTATTAATTGTGCATGTGCAGTTAGTTTTCAAGTATGCCTCTTTGAGTTTTTATGGCTACTTTGAAATTGCACTGAATAACTAGCATGAAGCTTTGAGAGATTTATGCTGTAGCTATTCTTCAATGATGGCAAGGACACACTGAGTTTTATAAGACACTTGTCAGTATAAATATTACCTACCAGTATTGTCCAGAGACCAAAACTTAAAATTTGTACTGTTTTGAAGACACAACACCAGAACGGACATTATTTTGGTTACTGGTGAACACTGGCCGTTGGATGGCTGACCTGGTAGCTTGCTGCTTGTTTCCTCAGTATTCACTTTCACCATGAGGTTACCACTGTTAGACTCTCCATTAACTGTAGCTGTTTCAGTTTTATCTGTCTGTGAAAAAGTATACTTTAAAAGGAGCTTGTATCCTTCATGGTGCTTAAGAAACTGTATGCTGCAGCACTGCCCATGCAGAACCCCATGCCAGTTCTGCTTCTTTGTCCCTGTGTACTTCGCCCATTTCCCATGACTCCCATATCTCATCCTCCCATATTTTCCTGTAGAACTAATTCCAGACACAGCTACTCATGGATATCACTCATTGTGAGCCATGTTGCCAGTTTCAATCAAGTTGATGGTATTTAATAAATGTAAAAACAATACACTCTTAAAAGCCTCGAGTTTCTCTTGTATTTTTTTCCCCCTTCATGGTACTATCTGTCCTCTTGCACTGAATACCACCCAGTATCTGTCACTGAAGTACGTGAGCTGGAAAAGCCCCGCTTAGCCCCATGATGCTGAAGAGGAAGGGGGCACAGGCGCTTTCCTAGATCTGTGAGTGGCTGTGGAACGACAGACGTCCTGCTTTTCCTGGGGCTGCGAGTCTCACCAGCTGTGGCACCGTCCTGACTGACCCAGTGTGAGGAGTCCACATGGGACCTGCATCAGGGGACTTTTAAACTTCCACCTGCACCTCTGTGTGCACACAGGCTGTGTACGGATTCCTTACCCCACTTACTGAGAAGGAGGCCTTTCCTACTTTTCCTCTCTGCTCAAAGTCCCCTTGTAACTACTGTTCCACTGATTTTGTTTGATAGATGCTTCCTCAGTAGTAAACCCCTGTAGGTGTTCCCACCACACTCCTTTTCCTGAACATGATGTGTCAGTTTTGAGACAGGCTGACTATCCGTAACCTGAAAGTCAAAGCCAAAGTGCTTCCATATCTGAAAGTGTTTAAGCACTCACATGAGCCTACAAATGGAAAAGGCCACACCTGACGTTAGGTAACAGGTCACAGTCAAAACACAGTACCTCTAACAATACTGTATGAATTACCATTAGGCTATGTGTAGACGGTGTGTATGAAACCTAAGTGAATTTCATGTTTCCATCTGGGACCCACTCCTAAGTTACCTCATTATGTATATGCAAAATATTCCCAAACCTAACCCTAACCCTAAAGATATCCGATGTCTGAAACACTCAGGTAAAGGAGACCCAACCTGTACTGAGGGTGAGTGATTTCCAACTCGTGACCGGTGGCAGGCAGGCCTCTTGTCTCCGTAAAGAGCAGCACCCTGTGCCATACTCGGGCACTGTTTCGACAAGAGCTTCTTGGGAAAGGGCCGCTTGCATCTTGTGACATTGGAGGTATGCTGGACTGAGGATCTCAAAACAAAAGTACCATTTGTCTTTCTGATCCTAGATAAGGAGTCTTTTAGAAAGTTCCACAATATGATTTTTGACTCAAAGTGTTTATTTGCTGCCAACAACCAAGCTGTAAATCATCCTGTTAGAGCTTTCCTTTTCGAAGAAAACAAAAACAAACTGTAGAACTACGGTGCACTCCAAGTGCCATATATCTATTTTATTCTTCAGGAAATTGTATTTGTTTTTCTTTTACAAGAGCACAACAGGAACCAAAGTAAAAGAGTAATAGATACAGCACTCAGGATAAATCATATCTTTAAAATAATAACAGAAAAATTTACACCTTGTCCTATATCCTGTTAGTATTTTCATATGGCCATGATTGAAAAAACAAAAAGCAAGCATTTACAATTTTTTTTTGATAAAGGCTTTTTATGCCAGGAATGGATTAATTGTCAACAAAATTTTATACTAATCAGACTGATGTAAAACTATTTTGGTAGCATACCATTAACAAATTTATTTTGGAAATAGATAAAAATATTGCCCCTTGATAATAAATCTTTTTGTTCCTTTGATGCAAACAGCTACAATGCCTTTTTCTTTTTTTTTTGATATTCTAAGACAAAAAAATGGTTAATCTTCAGATTAATAAATTAGGTCATTATAATAATAAATTAATTTTTTTTAAAGTTCAGCAACCTCTGTCCAAGTATTTACAACAATACTTGAAAGTTCCTTTACAAAACAGAACACATTTTCTTTTCACATTAAGCATACTGGGTATCTGTGTCTTTCACAACAAGCATTTTTAAAAGAAAAATCAATGCACAAATGGGTCATTAGTATAAAAGTGCTAAGAGCTGTTTGAAAAGTTAACACTATAGTATACAGTCAGTTATATTTGAGGCAAACTACAACAAACTTCCAGCTTATTGTGGACAATATTCCAGTAGTTGTTTCAAACAGTTGTTTGAAAAAATAAATCCAGGAGCTGATTAATGATGCAGATAAAAACTGCCATCAATATCTCTGGCTAGTGAGCAAACTGAAAACCAACTGAAAGCAAATCCAAATGAAGAAGACTGTAATAAAGGAATATCTTCTCCACAGCAGGTGTGATGCTGGCTGCTCAGGTGCGTGCGTGTGCACGCGCGCACGCACACACACACACACTCTCACTCACACAAACATCTCCCCAATTAAACTGCAGGTAGAATGAGATTTTGTGTTATTCAAAAAAAATCTAAGTGATCAAAAGCACTGATATGGAATGCCTGTTTATCTGCCTTTGTTCTGGTTAAAATCTCAAAAATACATTCAACAGGAAAACATAAAATGTATGTGTATAAATATATATGCATATATATATTATATACACATGCACACAAATACTTTTGTTTTTCGAAGCATAAGATAGTTACATAAATATTCCTATAATTGCTAAAGTTTAAAGAGGCATAATTTTTTTTAGCTTCAACAAAGGTGCTTGAATAATATACAATTAAAATGAAGTAGTTTCTATTTTGTAGAATCAGTCTATAATAAGGAAAAAAAAAATCCCCAAACAGTCTTTTTTAAAAAAAGTTTCTTCTTAAGCTAGAGCTTTGACAAGAACTATGAACAACCAACAATAGAACAGAACAAAGCAACAACGAACACTGAAGTTTAGCCCCTGGAAATGCCTGGTGTCCTTCACCTTCTCCCTCCTTCCTGCCACATTGCTGTAAGAAAAGCTCCAGTGCTCACACCAAGAAATGACTTAGGTCTTGTTCATTCGCTGTCTCTCCTAGGAACTGGCTGATTGGCTTGGAAGAAAACAAAAGCAGCAAAAAAGTATAACTGTATATATCCTTAATAACCCGCTTTAGAGAAATGTTGCTATCACATTTCCCTGGCTTCCTCACTGCCTACTGCAGTTGTGACTGTATAGAAAAGAAACTTGTGGCTTTAGACCTGGGATGGCTATCGTAAGTTCTGATGCACTCGTCTCGTAGTTCTAAGTTGGTTATGGCAGCTGGGTCGCAAGGCCTTTTTGTTTCCTGCTCATTCAGGCCTGAGCGTTGCAGCAACCAGGGCAGTCTTCAGAGCAACAGGAAAAAATATCCTCGGCCACTGAACTGCTTCTGTTTGACTGGATTTCTCCTCGAGCTAAGCTGACCAATTTTTCTTCCCAGTACCACCCTCCCACCCATTTCCCCAACCAAACTCACTGTCCCCACCCCCAAGAATCTCTACAGCTATATTACAAGCAAATATACCTTAGCAACTTTAAAAACTTTGGTTCTAAGAAAACACTTGGTCAGTTATCTTGAGGAAAATGGGAATGCTCGTTCTGCACACTGCTGTAGGCAGAGCCCATCCCAGTAAGTTCTTAGCGCTGTACATCAAGTCCCAATCCAATCCAATCCACTAAGCAAGTGCACAAATTCTAGTTTACTTTTAAGAGCAGATTTAGTTGTTTTCTGTCTTTTAAAACCTCAACCATGTTGACTTTCTTCACACAGTTTGGTAGAAATTATCTGCCTGTAGATGGTTCTGTTTTTGCATGCTGTAGAAGCCACTGAATCTTGCATCGGGTTCAGCAATTCTTAGCATTCTCTGGGAACTGTCCACCTGCACCCGGGTCCCCTTCTTGCAGTCCACAGATACCAACTGATTATTCAAGGAAGAAGGCTATATAGTGAGAGGAGGAAAAAAAACCCACACGTAGAATTAGTTGTCTTACATCCCCTAAATGTACAGACATTTAAGACCTAATCAGGTGAGAGAACAGTTTCATAATTACCCGATGGTCAGACTGTATGTGGGGTGTCACTCTCAGTTCCATCTATGCTTCTACTGGTAAAGTGACATAACTATCTCCAAACCCTTGAAGCAAAGGCTTATGTTTAAGGGGGCTGGAAAATTAAAGGAAGTTACCAAGCAGGCAGACTTGAAAACAAAGCCATACTTTGTAAGGCTGAGGCGGTACTGCAGCCCCGTGTCAGGCCAGCCCTGCTGTGTTGCACTGCATCTCAGGTTCTTCGTGTGTGGGTCTCTCTTTCCAGCTTTGTACAGTGGCAACTGTATACTGCTTAGCAATACACAACCCAGTATAAACTCAGAATAGAGGCTGTGCTCCACGCAAAAAAGAAAATCTGAGGCAAGATATCTGACAGAAATTTTATATGTTAGAGTTAACTAGATGTTAAGTTGGGTAAAATATTTATTCAGACTGTTTCTAATTCTAATTCTCAAAGGTGTATGATTATTAAAACTAGAAAAGGTGGAATCAGAGTTGGAAGAAATTATGACTTACGACTTATTTCCCTTAATATAGTTTTTTCCTTTTAAACAGGTAGATTCAGAGGCCTTTTGTATTTGTATTCAAATACATGCATATTTTTTTTTTCTCCCTTGCTAAGAAGTCTGCTGCTTTAGCTCGGCCAGTGGCACCTTACACAGTCTCTGCATCTTGTGCTGTCTCTCCCCTTTGACATATCTACCTGTCTTTTGGATTTTTGTATATCCTCATTATCTTCAAGCTCTTACTGCCCTTTCCGAGTATTATCTCTCTCCCTTTGTGATTTCTTTTCTCTCCCAATTCTGGATTGGTAAATAATTGAGAAATATCGGTGATCAACTTTTGATTTCTAATATAAACACTAATTTAGGAATCAACCCACAGGTATTTGTTCATCAGAAAACTAAATTACATCAGGAAGTTGATCCGTGAGAGATTAGGACTCATTAACCAGTGGATGATGAAGATCACCCAGGGATCAATCCAGTCCTGGCCAAGAACTGTATTTTTGATTGCTACGGCTCGATATACATTTGAGGTTGTGAATAGTAAAGTAAAAATTTCATTGGCTCATATAAAAGGTATTCGACAATTTTAAGGAAATATAACAATGTAAGCTTCCCTCATTTCATCATTCAAGAGGCTGTAACTTTCTCAGGACTGTACCTTAGTTGGTGTTCGATACCAGCAAAGCAGTGGTATCCACTGTTTCTTCTGATTGATGAACAGGAATGCTATTAT